ATTATAATAAATTGTTTAAAAAAAAATAATAAAATATCATTTAAGAATAATAAAAACATTGCTTAAAAATAATAAAAGTATCATTTAAGAATGATAAATATTGTTTAAGAATGATAAATATACTATTCTTAAATGATAATATTATCATTCAAGAATGATTAATTGATCTAAATTTTATCAGATCAGATTAGGTCAAGTTGACTTGTTGAACTGATTTGATATTAATCTGAAAATCTACTTACCTGATCTGGATTTTCAGATCAGATCAGGTCAGATAAATAGGTTGACCTGATCTGATTTAAAGCTTTACTCATTCTATATATCAAACTATTTGGTATATAGAGTCTATTAATAAAATTAAAGACATATGATTATATTAATAATATTAATCTTAACATTTATTATTATATGTATTAACAAAAATTATTTCAAAATACAAATTATTATAAGTTCTAATACAGTATTGATATGTAAATTCAATATTAGAAAGACTTGGATTTTTTTTTTGTTTTACATATTTCATATTTTTGTATAACTAAAAAATAACTCTTCATTTAATATAATATTAAAGTTCTTTAAATAAAAAATTTTTGTGTTTTGATAAAAAAAAGATTACAGTCAACCCTTGTTATAATAAACTCTATGTTTTAGACCTCAACTTTGCTATAAGACTATAGTAAAGATTTTAAGAAATTTGATTGACTAATTTATTATAATAAGAGTATTTTTATTAGATTTATTCAAAAAATTCATTATATCAACAATTTGCTATATCAAGAGTTGACTGTATTTACATTATGATAATTTATATATTAATTTAAATTACATGATTATTTGATATATCAAATATGTAAATAATATATTTAGTTTAACAATATAAGTTCAAATATAATATATAGTATTTTACTATATAATTTCAATATATTCAATACAATTAATTATAATAATCAGTTCTATATTACTTAGTTTAATATAATGAGTTTTTGATATATATAGATTCATTATAATTAATAATAATTGTATATTCTAAAAATTTTACCAATCAATATATTTTATTTATATAAGAAATATATATGATATTTTAACATTTTATTTATAATATATTGACTAATTGTTAATAAATATAAAAAATTAGAATTGGTTAAAATTTTCTATTTTACTTTATGCCTTTACAATTACTAATAAGAATCTAACATTATAAAATAGTAAATTTTTTATTATAATAATCATTATAATTCTTATATAAAAGTGTTAAATTATTTTTTTTTAATATTCTAGTGATCAGTAATTCAATTTGATGATATAGGTTACATTATGAGCCATATTTTAACATTTTAGTATAAACTATTTCTGACTATATTTTAAGCTAACTTTGTGAATCAATTTTGATTGTTAATCGCGTTCTAAAGGTAAAAAAAAAACTTAGGAATAGATAGATAACCAATTTTATAAATCTAAATGAGAAGATAAATTCGTTTTTTTTTTTTTTTAAACCAAGGTTTTTCTGTCAAGTACTAAAAGCTGTATGTACTATTTAAATATATATCTTTTTTTTTTAACTTTGATACTTTTTCAGTGCTGAAATATCATCAAGCATAGCGCGAATTTCCTCATCAGATCTTTTAGCTAAACTGTATAAAAAATTTTTTTTTTTTTTAAAAAAAAAAAAGAAAAATTCAGCAAACCGTCAAGAATGAATGAATGATATTTCTCAACTTTCCCATCTCACCTTGGTATTAATGATTTTGCTTCGTCTATTTCTTCACAAACTAGATTTGCCAACTGTGCTAATTCATACTTGTGAAGTTTATGTCTCATCAAAGTTCTATAATCAATTCATAATTACATAATTATCATTAAATGAAAAGTTTTTTTTTTATTAATGAAAATATCATTGGTTACTCACTTTCGAAGTTCACGCACTGATTCATCGTTATGAAACCTTGTAAATGTATTTACTAATTCCTCAGTTTTTCTATATACACTATAATAATTTATTTTTTTTATTAAAGGAAGAAATATTTAGGCATAATGAAATCAAATTTATTTTGTCTAATTAAAGATTTATTATAATTAACTTATTATTCTTTTGAGACGGGGGTATCTTTTCCAACAAGAGTGCTACTTCAGAAATAAACAGAAACTCTTCGTCCTCAAAATCTGCCAATCATTATAAAAATTATTAAATCTG